CTTTTTGGAATTTTGGGTCCTCAATGCTCTTCAACTTTATACTTGTTTGGCTTTCTAGCTATTTTTATCTGAGCGTCACTGATGAGTCTTATAAAGACGAAACGCGCGTCTGGCGTATCAAATTATGAGCCTGGTACCTTTGATAATTATTAACACCACTGGTCGATGCCACTGCTGTATGACGTTTCGTTCCCGAGGGTATCACCATCCCACTAGTCAGCACTTCGGTGTTGACATGAATATCAATTTTATGGTCATTTTTATTAATCAACTGTTTGCAAAAGTATGAATTATTTGAAATACTAGTAAGGATTTTCTTATCCCAGGCATAGATTACCTTAGTCGTATTTGGCACAACTTTTTGGAATTTTGGGTCCTCAATGCTCTTCGACTTAAATCTACTATTAAATCAAGGAAAATTTGCAAGCATATTTTATAAATTTACCAAATGTGTTATTGAATTTAACAAATATTAAAAGAAAAAACCCCAAAATGTTTCTTAATTTGACAAATTAAAGACATAATTTTAAATCACCAGGAAAATGTACTGAATTTGAAAAATAAAATACAAAAATGTCAATTATTTGACAGATCATTTGTGTTGGTACATTCTAAAAAAATATGTTAAAAGTAAATAATGCATCTTAAGAATAAATATGTGTCATTTAAAATTTTACTCTTCTTCAGCCATATACATTAGTTACAATGTCAACTAAAAACAGTATTTATCGATTACGAGACAGCAATAACAACGCAATACGCACAGTGTTCCCAAGGGATAACCGTGAAAGGCTGATTCTTCCACTTTACACTGTGTATTTGGCGAAATGCACGGAAATGGAACCACTACTTCACAGGACCCCGCACCACCAGCCACCTAAAAGATTGGCGCACAAAAATAAATAGACTATGTTCTTGGAACAATTTTATGCTCATTAAATCTTTTGTCTTTTTTTATTTCTTTACTAAAAGATAGTTGGTATAACAAATACAGGAAAACCAGGAGTAAATAAAGGCAAATAAACGGTGTGTTCCCATTTCGCCTTAGCTGTGAATTCCGGGTAAAAAAGGTAAAAAGAAACACTTAGGCGAAATGTGAATTTTGAGTTTTTTTTTGTATTTAATAAATAAAATTGAACATTTCTATGATTTCAAAAGTTGTGAAATCAGAAAAAAAATCTACATTAATAACATTTGTCAGGAGGAAAGTTGATTCTCCTGAAATATTTTTTTGTTTCATTTAATAACAGTTGTAATTGTATGAATTATCTTGCAATTAAAAATCTTAATAATTCAATTATCCTTTACATTATGCAACGTAAAAAGTTTTATGGAACAAAAAAACATGTTTTTTTTTCACAGACTTGTTTACATATATAACAGAAACTTAAAAAAAAAAACACATTAAAAAAAAAAATCTTTAAAATTGTGCTAATTATATAAGATAACATTTGTATGCTTATTTAAAATTGTGCTTGTAATTCGGTTGCTGATTCAGAAAGCAAATGGTTGTTATGATTGTATGATATTTTTCGTTATTCTATTCAGTAAAACATGAAATATTCCATTACATATTGGTCATCTCTAAGAAACAAGAACAAAGACTTTATTCACAAAATATATCACATATGTAGATACTAGATATGGACAATGCCCCCCCCCCCGTTCTAGTCTGCCATATATACATAAGTATAGTTCCACAAATTTTAGATTTGACAAACATTGATGTTGGCATATAACTTGAAATTGTTACACTATCTGTAAGATACAAATGATGCTCCGGCCTAACCATTTATCAGTATGTATGATCAAGGACTTTCTATATTATATAGTTAGTATAGACTGTCCCTGGTATGATGATGTAACTGTAGGAGGAGAAAGCGGGACCAACCATGATCTCTTTATGCAGCTAGTACCGTACCCCAAAAAATAACATTTTTAAAAAAGATGAGCCACTATAAAAAGAATTATTCACAAAGTGTGACAACCGGGAAGACATAAAAAAACATCTTTTTTTAGAAAGTATTTCCTTCAGATTTTGACATTAAAATAACAAATATCAACTAATTGCAATACAAAAAAGAAACTTAATAATATTGTTTACACATATTCCCATTTTGCCTTAGTTAATTCTTTTTTACCTGAAAATTTGTACGAAGGCAAAATGGATTATATATAAAGATTTTAACAGCTAAGGCAAAATGAGAATAAGTCAAATAAACCACCTTAATTACCTGCTACACATTGTAAAAACTAACTAATCACTATCAAAGCAATTCCCGATTGTCCCACATTTAAAGCTTCCTAATTGTCCCACAAACATATTCCAGATTGTCACACAACATTTATTTACTTTTGACACCCCATCAACCCTCCTCCCGGCTTGGTACATCATGTGGTACAAGAAGAAGAACGGCTGCCCTGTTTAAAAGTTAATGTATGTCAGGTACTCCTTTATAGTTGGTGACGAGTCCTGTTGACTGCACTTTACGCCAAATACACTGTGTAAAGCAAAACAAAAAACACCTTGAATAGTGATCCCTGCAAAGGATGATCTAGCAGAAGTTTGGACAGCAGCTTCGTAATCAATAAAAAAAGTTGTTGCAGTCGGGTAAATCTTACATTGCGTGCAAGCAATCATCAATATTGTAAATATCCTCTGACTTCCATGGTAAAAGTGCAAAGACTGAGTGGAAGCATCTTTCCGTCAATAATTGGCGTAGGGTGTACAGTGTAAATGGAATATACATTTTTTTAATTTGCATGCATCATTTCTGAATTTATTTAAAAACGTATAAATAAACGTAACATTATAAAAATATGTCATTACTCAGAAATGTTATATCATTTAATCAAAAGTGCATTAAACTGATGATTTGTTAAACAATCATATTTTAAAAATTGATAATATAAATATAAAATAATAGTTTGAACATGCAATATTCAATTCTTGTTTATTTAAGCAAATAAACACCAGTTACCTTGTTTATTTAAGAACAGTTACATCATAAAATAATGTGAAACTTTTGATGTGGGATAGTGAGAACTCTTAAATTTAAAAAAGGGGGATAATTGGGAATAAACCTTATAGCATATCATAATTTTTCACTTATTATGCCTTATGTTTTATATACATTATTTGTCATTTTGTATATGCCATGTATGTTGTTCACCTGGAATACGCAATGTCATATTTAGTATATGTGCTTTATCATTAACCCGGATGTACTGGTGAGGACAGTCATGTTTTTTTTTGCACCTGCAAAAACTCTAAATTTTAAGGATTTTATTTGAACGGTAAAATTAATTTTTAACAACTTCGCAGATTTTAGGCCAATAATGAAGATTATTCTGAATATTTTGTTCACTTCAAGAGCGTTGCGAACGTCGTCGCGTTGTTAGTGGTGATTAATTGTTCTCCATTGTTCTTTCAACATTCAATTGCAAAAACAATAATTGTATTACATGTATTTTGAATAACAATGTCGGACTACAAAGAATTCGACACCAAAACAATCACTATATTGAACTCTGTACTAGCTGTTGTGGCAGATCTCCAGACACAATGCGGAAAGCTTGCGCGTTACTATGATATCCCAACTTGAGGGGAAATTAGATTAAATGGTAACACGAATTGAAAATGTTGAACAGAAGTGCGAAATTGTTTTTAACCGAAATAAAATGATTGATGAAAATGTAGAACAAATGGGTACGGTTGTGCATAAAGTTATAGATCGCTGGAAAGAAAATATGTCGAAAATATCATTGTTAGAAGAAGTAAATAGCGATAAAGAAAACACATTCGATATAAAATGCGTCGATGAGCGATTGACAAATCCTGAGAGTGATGTTGAAGAGTTAGAATGGCGATCAATGAATAACAATATAATTATATTTGGAATAAAACAGGAACCAAATGGTGATACAGAGAACACTGTAAAGGATGTAATTCGCAAAAAACTTGGAATCGTTAAACATATCAATTTCTCCTCAGTACATCGTTTTGGAAAGCAAAGACAAAATAATCAAAGAATTATAATGGCTAAATTTGTATCTTAATTTGAAAGATAATCAGTTAGTGATGAAGAACTGTCACAAATTAAAGAGGACAAATATTTCTGTCAGAGCTCAATTTCAGGTAAAAATTATATCAACCTATATCCTGTGTTAAACCAGGCAAAGACAGACCGAAAGAAGGCTGTATTTGTAAGAGATAAACTTTTCATAGGAGAACTATACAAACCAAATGATGACAAAGAACCAAAACACACGGATTACAAAGAAATACAGAACAGAAACACCCAAATTCATGAAGCCGATAATGTATCCGATAAAAGTTCATTCATAAACTCAACCCGACCCACTAATATTCCATGGAATCGTCCAATACCCAAAAAACAGAAAAGTCTTCAGCGGAACAGAATTAATTTTGACATACCTGGCTGATTCGTAAAACCTGGCCAATATTATCTTCAATGCGAAGTGCATACACACTCTATTAATTATGATATCTATCTTGATTTTTTTTTATTCTACGCTAGAAATATCCTGAACATATTTCACAAATAATGAAAACCTCTTTTTCACCCGTAGTGATAAAAGGGTTGCGTTTTATTTTTTCTTTGTCATATTTATTGAACAATTTATTATTTTGTATACTATATCATGTTGCTCTTGTTGCACATTATGTGCGCCTGAGTGTATTAATAAACTTGTCAAAAAACTTAAATTTAAAAAAGTGGGATAATCGGGAATAAACCTTATAGCATATCATAATTTTTCACTTATTATGCATTATGTTTTATTTACATTATTTGTCATTTTGTATATGCCATGTATGTTGTTCACTTAGAATACGCAATGTTATATTTAGTATATGTGCTTTATTCAATAAGATATTTGATTTGATTTGAAAATTTATTATTAAGGGGGTTGGTTGAATTTAAAACATGCTATTGACATTAAGTATACATTCTACTGCGCATTACGTTATAAAATACCTGGACATTTATTATTAGAACAATTGTCGGCCTCCTTATTGTCACCACTACATGTTGAACCACCACCGGATGCAGGAGGATTATTGCAAATTCTGTATCTTAACCTTTGGCCACCACCACACGATACTGTACACTCATTCCATGCACTCCAATATCCCCAACTTCCATTTACTGAAAGTTTATAGATAAATAGATATTTTTTTTTCATTATGCATGACATAATTTAACAAAGAAACTTACTAGAAATTTTCAAATTCGCTTGCTCCTGAAAATTATTAATTGCTATATCATCTTTATTCAATTAATACAAAAAACCAACAAGAGTAATAATTGTCATGAATGAATTGAGATGTCGCGAAAAGGTTAAAAAGACGGCAACCCAACACACAATAAAATGAGATGTTTAAAAGTCGACATTCAATCTCTCACAAGCTAAGTGTTTTGCAAGCAATCATCAATATTGTAAATATCCTCTGACTTCCATGGTAAAAGTGCAAAGACTGAGTTGAAGCATCTTTCCGTCAATAAGTGGCGTAGAGTGTACAGTGTAAATGGAATATACATTTTTATAATTTTCATGCATCATTTCTGAATTTATTTAAAAACGTATGAATAAACGTAACATTATAAGTATATGTCATTACTCAGAAATGTTATATCATTTAATCAAAAGTGCATTAAACTGATGATTTGTTTAACAATCATATTTTAAACATTGATAATATAAATATAAAACAATAGTTTGAACATGCAATATTCAATTCTTGTTTATTTAAGCAAATAAACACCAGTTACCTTGTTTATTTAAGAACAGTTACATCATAAAATAATGTGAAACTTTTGATGTGGGATAGTGAGAACTCTTAAATTTAAAAAAGGGGGATAATTGGGAATAAACCTTATAGCATATCATAATTTTTCACTTATTATGCCTTATGTTTTATTTACATTATTTGTCATTTTGTATATGCCATGTATGTTGTTCACCTGGAATACGCAATGTCATATTTAGTATATGTGCTTTATCATTAACCCGGATGTACTGGTGACGACAGTCATGCTTTTCTTGCACCTGCAAAAACTCTGAATTTTAAGGATTTTATTTGAACGGTAAAATTAATTTTTCAACAACTTCGGAGATTTTAGGCCAATAATGAAGATTATTCTGAATATTTTGTTCACTTCAAGAGCGTTGCTAACGTCGTCGCGTTAGTGATGATTACTTGTTCTCCATTGTTCTTTCAACGTTCAATTGCAAAAACAATAACTGTATTACATGTATTTTGAATAACAATGTCGGACTACAAAGAATTCGACACCAAAACTATCACTATATTGAACTCTGTACTAGCTGTTGTGGTTGATCTCCAGACACAATGCGGAAAGCTTGCGCGTTACTATGATATCCCAACTTGAGGGGAAATTAGATTCAATGGTAACACGAATTGAAAATGTTGAACAGAAATGCGAAATTGTTTTTAACCGAAATAAAATGATTGATGATAATGTAGAACAAATGGGTACGGTTGTGCATATATATATATATTATAGATCGCTGGAAAGAAAATATGTCGAAAATACCATTGCTAGAAGAAGTAAATAGCGATAAAGAAAACACATTCGATATAAAATGCGTCTATGAGCGATTGACAAATCCTGAGAGTGATGTTGAAGTGTTAGAATGGCGATCAATGAATAACAATATAATTATATCCGGAATAAAACAGGAACCAAATGGTGATACAGAGAACACTGTAAAGGATGTAATTCGCAAAAAACTTGGAATCGTTAAACAAATCAATTTCTCCTCAGTACATCGTTTTGGAAAGCAAAGACAAAATAATCAAAGAATTATAATGGCTAAATTTGTATCTTAATTTGAAAGATAAACAGTTAGTGATGAAGAACTGTCACAAATTAAAGAGGACAAATATTTCTGTCAGAGCGCAATTTCAGGTAAAAATTATATCAACCTATATCCTGTGTTAAACCAGGCAAAGAAAGACCGAAAGAAGGCTGTATTTGTAAGAGATAAACTTTTCATAGAAGGAGAACTATACAAACCAAATGATGACAAAGAACCAAAACACACGGATTACAAAGAAATACAGAACAGAAACACCCAAATTCATGAGGCCGATAATATATCCGATAAAAGTTCATTCATAAACTCAACCCGACCCACTCATATTCCATGGAATCGTCCAATACCCAAAAAACAGAAAAGTCTTCAGCGGAACAGAATTAATTTTGACATACCTAGCTGATTTGTAAAACCTGGCCAATATTATCTTCAATGCGAAGTGCATACACACTCTATTAATTATGATATCTATCTTGATATTTTTTTATTCTACGCTAGAAATATCCTGAACATATTTCACAAATAATGAAAACCTCTTTTTCACCCGTAGTGATAAAAGGGTTGCGTTTTATTTTTTCTTTGTCATATTTATTGAACAATTTATAATTTTGTATACTATATCATGTTGCTCTTGTTGCACACAATGTGTGCCTGAATGTATTAATAAACTTGTCAAAAAACTTAAATTTAAAAAAGTGGGATAATCGGGAATAAACCTTAACAATGGTGTTAATATGTCCTTTGATTGAGTTAAGCTATTTCAGTGGATATTTTATAGTGTGTCTTTCTATGTTGTGATGTTACACTATTGTTTCAGAAAAAGGGTGAAGGTTTGGTACCATTAAAACGTTTAAACCCGCTGCATTTGTTTGCACCTGTCCTAAGTCAGGAATCTGATGTTCAGTAGTTGTCGTTTGTTGATGTGGTTCATAAGTGTTTCTCGTTTCTCGTTTTTTATATAGATTAGACCGTTGGTTTTCCCGTTTGAATGGTTTTACACTAGTAATTTTTTGGGGCCCTTTATAGCTTACTGTTCGGTGTGAGCCAAGGCTCCGTGTTGAAGACCGTACTGTGACCTATAATGGTTTACTTTTATAAATTTTGACTTGGATGGAGAGTTGTCTCATTGGCACTCATACCACATCTTCTTATATCTACTTAAGGCATATCATAATTTTTCACTTATTATGCATTATGTTTTATTTACATTATTTGTCATTTTGTATATGCCATGTATGTTGTTCACTTGGAATACGCAATGTTATATTTAGTATATGTGCTTTATCCAATAAAATATTTGATTTGATTCGAAAATGTATTATTAAGGGGGTTGGTTGATTTTTAAAACATGCTATTGACATTAAGTATACATTCTACTGCGCATTACGTTATAAAATACCTGGACATTTATTATTAGAACAATTCTCGGACTCCTTATTGTCACCACTACATGTTGAACCACCACCGGATGCAGGAGGATTATTGCAAATTCTGTATCTTAACCTTTGGCCACCACCACACGATACTGTACAATCATTCCATGCACTCCAATATCCCCAACTTCCATTTACTGAAAGTTTATAGATACATAGATATTTTTTTTTTCATTATGCATGACATAATTTAACAAAGAAACTAACTAGAAATTTTCAAATTCGCTTGCTCCTTAAAATAATTAATTGCTATATCATCAACAAGAGTAATAATTATCACGAATGAATTGAGATGTCGCGAAAAGGTTAAAAAGACGGCAACCCAACACACAATAAAATGAGATGTTTAAAAGTCAACATTCAATCTCTCACAAGCTAAGTGTCTTAACAATATATGTCAGTTTTCACTGGCAATTTTATTAAAACAATATGATGTTTTTTTTTTGAGAATATGAAATAAAATGAAATAGAAGGTAAAACTATTTGTACGCACAGAAAACGTTGTCATAGTTTTTCGGTTGGGCGTATGACATTTGAGCATATTTTTTAAATTGTCATTCTTTCATTTGCGCCTATTTCATTTTTTCATTTACGCCGATTTCATTTTTTCATTTGCGCCGATTTTATTCATTGCATTTACAGTTTGACATAGGTGAGTACATTTTTTAATACTGGCCATACATATCGGAAGGTCAGTGCAATGATCGCGAGAAAGGTATACTTATTTTTCTACACACCTCAATCTTGACTGTCTCTGGCAAAATTGCAATGATATGTCTGCAATATTTAAAGACGGAACTTTTAAGTGCTGTCCAAAATACTTTTATCAGTTATATACTAAATACGGATGTAAAAATGGAAACTACGTACCTCTAGTTTACGCCCTTTTACCAGCGAAAGATGAACAGTGTTATGAAGTGATGTGGAAAATAATTTGCGATCTCTGCCGGTCAAAAACAACTTTCCTTTGTGGCCGAGGTTATGCAATTGACTTTGAACAAGCAATGCATAACGCAATTATGGATGCTTTTTCACAATGTAGAATATATTGTTGTCGTTTTCATCTGGCTCCGAACTGGTGGATGAAAATCAAGTCTGTTGGGCTGAGCACATAATATAAAGACAAATTAAGTGACATTGGTAAATGGCTATCCCAATTGATTGACAATTCATAACATGTATACAACCGGCTAACGGAAGAGGTCTATGATGATAAATGAAAAATAACATCATCTTTAATTTACCTGTAAAAAAATCGGCCCAAATGAAAAAAATAATCGGCGCAAATGAAATAAAAAATCGGCGCGATATGAAAGAAAAAATCGGTGCTAATGAAATGCAGATCGGCGCAAATGCAAAACGCCGTTTCGGCTGTATGAATGAAGTCGAGTGTATTTCATTGCTAAATTGACCCGGATGGACAAAGACGTGCGACGGTTGCTGCAACGTTACATGATGTCTATCATACACTTATCCAGGAATTTTACATGGAAATTAACCTTTAACCAGAAAACAAAACATTTATATAATATTTTCTAACAAAGAAAAGTATTTTATAGTAGATATTTTGAGAGGATTTGAAGAAGAGGACTAAATGTTTTTGAATATGTAGTATTATAATAGGTGGAGGAAAATACACAAAAATTTAGTTAATCCTGATTTGTAAAGGAAGAATTCGTTAAAAAAATTATATCTAATGGACAGGGAGACAACTGCAACGTATTCACTGTGAACGTATCACTCTTGAACGTAAACGTATTACTCTGGATGCATAGACTTTAAGTAATATATATAATTATTAAACTGCACATTTCAACACAAACATGCAAATCAAGATTGAATGAACTTCATTATAAATATTTAAAGGTTAAATTTAATGAAAAACAAATTTAACTTATTTCCTTTAATGTGAGGTCGACGTCGTACCCTTTTTTGCAAACTATAACAAATAAGTCGAAACTGTAAAATGATCAGCAATGCAAGATGTATTGCTCAGGTTAACTATTCTACCCTCTTAGGTGTCACTTGTTCATTTTAGGTAGCTTGCACATTGAGTTTGATAGAGAAAAACAAATCCATATCCGAAAAATACAGAAAATATTTTTTTCTCGGAAATACATGACACACTATATAGCTGCTTCTGAACATCTGTTTGTCAATACTCTTATCCTTGAAACAAGAGTAAGTACTCATATGACCGAATATCGACCAATAGCTGCTTTTGCAAAATTACAAAAAAAAAAAGATGATGCAATTCCTCCGCCATCGTCAAATCCTATGCACTCCGCCCCTGCAAACCCTCGGCTCCTAAGAGACGGCTCACTATATAGAGACAAATCAAAACTTATTAACACTTAATTTGATTACAGCTTCATCTGACAAAGTAGGTCTGCAATACAAACACTTTTTATTTTTTATATTCTGTGGATACTATTTGCTTTTTTACGAATTTACCTTGAATTGAATTAATCTTATGAAATTTGGTCTACAGTTTTTCTTTTTTATGTCTTACCTGGGAAATATGGTATACAGAGGAAATATGTGTTGCAGGGAAAGAGGTCCGTACCATTAGAGCTTTGATGGATAGTTCAACTAGTCTCATTGGTAATCATTACCACATCTACTTATTTTTATTTAGAAGCTGCGATGCTGTCAGTTGTCCCTTTTTCGTCCAAATAAGACACTGTATTGATTTTTATATGCTTCGCAACTGCTCACATCTTAATTATGTTTAAAATTCAAACGTGTTTTATACGGACAGTCATGTTGATACTATATAGCTTCAAATTTGTCTGGAAGGCATATAAGATTAAGACACAATGTACAGAAATCAAGATAGAATATTGCAATATTTTTGGATTACTTTCATCCGAATAAGTCTGAAAATTTAATCCTGCAACTAAACTTTAGAAGTCATTACTCTTATCCCGAAAAGTCATATGACGGGTTAATATTTGTTGACTGAAAAGAGTATGCGGCTGCGATGTTTTCAACTGTCTCCTTTATCTTTCCAAACTGACACCATATAAAATCCTTATATTCTGTGCGAACTGCTCACATATGCCTTTTAACATACTTTAACGTTTCTAAAAGGAAAGTCGAGCCGACAGAATGATTGGTGTATACCACAAACTTTGATTGCACGACATATTAAAATACATTAAATAGAAATAAAGATTACACTTTATCTTAGTTGAATAAAAAATGAAGCTGCACATTATCTTTATCCGTTGGTACTCTTATAGCTGATGTCTTATATAATTTTCATATCCTGCATACCTCCAAACTTTGTTTGCAAAACGTACAAAATACAACACAATTAGCAGAAATAATGAATAATAATTGCTACACTTATCTAGAATTTGCTATTGTGAAAACTTGAGCCTAAAATTTTATTTGATATTTAGGTACTCTTATCCCGGAAAAATGTAATGAAGTTTAAAATAGCATTTGTTGCAGAGAAAGAAATGTTTTCAGTTATCTTCCCTTTCTTTTCAAATTGACACAAAATTCTTCCTTATATTCTTTGCTCAAATCATACCTTTACACATAATGAATTTTTATAGAGTTGAGCGTTCACAAACAGGTTTAACCTCGCCACATTCTCTGTGTCTGTCCCAAGTCAGGAGCATGTAGTTCAGTGGTTGTCGTTGGTTCATGTCTGTCATATTTGTTTTTTGTAAATTTTTTTGTTATACATTAGGCCGTTAGATTTCTCAATTGAATAGTTTCATATTTTTCATGTCGTGCCCTTTAATAGATGACCTTACGGTTTGGGTTTTTTTTCTTATTGCTGTAGGCCTTACGGTTGCCTAAAATTGCTTATATCTACTTCATTTTAACTATGATATGATATTTAATATAATATACCGAGAGGCCATTTGTGACCTATACAAACTATTATTTAAATCTGAGATCACGAATTTAAAAGTTTCATTATCAATGATCAAATTTCACATGACAAATCTGAGAACTTTTAGTTATCACAGTTTGTTTATGTAATTGGTGGTCACGGATTACACTTTTTATTGCATTCTTTTTGTCAGAATTTACTATATATATACAGGTTAGTGCCACCAACTGAGATTACGTCATGAACGTCTATGTCTATGTCTATGTCTATGTCGTGAAAGCCAAACATACAGTAGCGATCCAAGATTTCATCGGTGGCATCGGCGTCGTATTTTTTAGTTTCAGCCTGTGGTTAAAGTTTTTTAAGACATAAATTGTGAAGATGACATACAACCAATTCATACAGAATGTCACAGCTATCTTTAGGTTTAAATTCATGGTAACCATGGTCACGATAATATTATGATTGTGCATGTATAATATTTCAATCTGCCGTTATGCCAATGTCCTTTCAATGTGGGAAAGATGATCTTCCGTAAGACAACTTCTGTTGAAATAGAACTCTGACTTTCTGAAAGCCTTAGCACATTCATTATATAATTTAATGTTTTACCATGGCAAAGTAAATGTTGTACATTCATGGTTCAAATATACATGTTTGCAAAAAAAAATTGGTACAAATACTTTTATTAGACAGTAACATCAAAAGTACTGAGGTCTCGGTCACTAAGTGGTCTAAGAGAAAAAATAAAAGAAATAGTCCATTATTAACCGTTATCACTAGCCTGTCAACACTGAGGTTGTGAGTTCAAACCCCGCTCGTGGCAAATGTGTTGGATTTCAATAGTGATGCACTAGTATTGCAAAATTAAAATACATACTGAATGTCTCTGTAACTGCTACATTTCAGTAATCTGTTTTAGCTGTTAAAGATGTTCATATTTTAATATAATTTCGTACTTGTGACAGGTACAAATAACATTATGGAATCTATTATTTAGTAGAGTTGTCACAATGTGATTTTGAATAAAAAATTCCTATTTGAATTTTATTTAGAAAGAGCTTTATTTCAATATATGAATTTTTCTTTCGCAATATTTTTTTAATGAAAAGTTTTGTTACAGCTGGAAAATTTATTTATTCTTTGTTATATTCAGAAATTCTCTAGGACATAAGAAACTGGGGCCTGGTTTTCGAAAGTATCCTAAGATATGCCATATTAAGATATATCTAAGGACAAATTTATGACCATCATACGATGATCATATGATATGTCATAGGATGT